GTATACATAGATTCATTCATTTATACGGACAAACAAATTCATTCACATACAAACCCCATCCCCCCAGTACCCATGCATAGACTACCGAATTAACTCGCCTATCTCTCCCACCGCATAGAGTGTCATGGCCTCGTCGCAAGTGCCCATTGTGTTTGTGGCTACAAAGGCTGATCTCCCGTCTGTCACCCAGGTACAGTGCACTGCTATGCTACTGATGGTGTGGTCAGTGTCAATGGCTTGGTTACCTGGGTCAGTTCTGTACTGCTTGTGATAGTTTAGTATCATTTGTGATAGTTCTGTGTTATTTGTGATAGTTTAGTATCACTTGTGGTAGTTTAGTATCATTTGTGATAGTTCTGTGATACTTGTGATGGTTTTAGTACTGCTTGTGATAGTTCTGTATTACCTGTGATAGTTTAGTATCACGTGTGATAGTTTAGTATCATTTGTGATAGTTTAATATCATTTGTGACAGTTCTGTGATACTTGTGATAGTTTTAGTACTGCTTGGGATAGTTCTGTGTTACTTGTGATAGTTTAGTATCATTTGCGGTAGTTCTGTGTTACTTGTGATAGTTTTAGTACTGCTTGTGATAGTTCTGTGTTACTTGTGATAGTTTAGTATCATTTGTTATAGTTCTGTTTTGCTTGTGATAGTTTTAGTACTGCAAGTGATATTTCTGTGTTACTTGGGATAAATCTGTGTTACATGTGATAGTTTAGTATCACTTGTGATAGTCTGTGTTACTTGTGATAGTTTTAGTACTGCTTGTGATAGTTCTGTGATACTTGTGATAGTTTTAGTACTGTTTGTGATAGTTCTGTGTTGCTTGTGATAGTTTTAGTACTGCTTGCGATAGTTCTGTGTTACTTGTGGTAGTTTTAGTACTGCTTGTGATAGTTCTGTGTTACTTGTGATAATTTAGTATCACTTGTGATAGGTTTAGTACTGCTTGTGATAGTTCTGTGTTACTTGTGATAGTTTAGTATCACTTGTGATAATTTAGTATTATTTGTGATAGTTCTGTGTTACTTATGGTAGTTTTAGTACTGCCTGTGATAGTTCTGTGTTACTTGTGATAGATTAGTATCACTTGTGATAGTTTAGTTTCATTTGTTATAGTTCTGTTTTACTTGTGATAGTTTTAGTACTGCAAGTGATAATTCTGTGTTACTTGTGATAGTTTTAGTACTGCTTGTGATAGTTCTGTGATACTTGTGATAGTTTTAGTACTGCTTGTGATAGTTCTGTGTTACTTGGGATAGTTTTAGTACTGCTTGTGATAGTTTAGTATTACTTGTGATAGTTTTTGTACTCCTTGTGATAGTTCTGTATTACTTGGGATAGTTTTAGTACTGCTTGTGATAGTTCTGTGTTACTTGTGATAGTTCTGTGTTACTTGTGATAGTTTTAGTACTGCAAGTGATATTTCTGTGTTACTTGGGATAAATCTGTGTTACTTGTGATAGTTTAGTATCACTTGTGATAGTTCTTTTTACTTGTGATAGTTCTGTGATACTTGTGATAGTTTTAGTACTGCTTGTGATAGTTATGTGCTACTTGTGATAGTTATGTGCTACTTGTGATAGTTTAGTATCATTTGTGATATATATCCGTCCTTTCGCCGAGTATATCAGCTGTGCCGTGTGGCATTGTTAATTTGTTTCAATGCAAAAGGGATATTATTTTTAGGGTCTATAATGTCCGATTTATGCCGATTATTGTTGGATTTCAATTCAACACAAGCTGCATTTGCCCTTGGCTGAGTCTATATATATATATATATATGTATATGTATGTATGGATGTA